AAAAAATGAGCTGATACCAAGGGCTCAGGCAGAAAGAAAATGGTTTGAAAATGATGATGGAAACTTATGTACAAATGTGCTTGATACAATGGATGTATGTATGGATTGTGATAAAAGCTGTACGAGCTTCCAATAAAATTATTTTTTTTAAAAAGAAGACAATCAAAATCCATGTCTAGAGCCGGTGACGTGTCCAGTTTCTCATTCTTGTGAGTCTCAGGCATTGTGGTCAGCTGAACAAAATAAGATTCTTCTCACTCCAAACCATTACCTCTGGCCTTCTATATTAGCACAGCAAGATGCTTAATCTTGTCTTTATTTATTGTCTGGCTCCTCCCATTTTAGACAGAACCAAAAGGGACCCCTGGTGGTACAAATGGTTACCTACTTTGGTGTTACACAAAACGTTCTATAGTGTATGTGACAAAATTCCGTAACACAGATACTTAAGTTGAAACATTTCTAATATCACAATGCTTATGTTTTACTTAAAACACATCCTTATCGAGACAATACACACTTGAGAATGGCTTGATTCATGGTGTAAAAAAAACCCCAAACATTAAATAACCACTGAGGCAAGTTCTGTGACTCAGGCAACCTTATTTCTGAGATTTTATTCGCTCATGTCCTTGATACCAGCACTTCCATGTTTCCTGGTTCTAATCCTGCTCTGTATGCATTTAGTAAAAAAGTCTCCTTTTAAACAAGTTCGGATATCCTCCAATTCCAAAAAGATATTCTTGCCAATTAGGTTGTAACTCTCTTATCTCTTTACCTCTCAACTCTCCCAAACAGTGAACACAGTGATTCAATGTTTTTATTTCTCTTTGATTCTGAGCCATGACTTTTCCTTACACGATCACATTTTAAAATCTCCCCTTAACGTCTAAGTGCAGAGTCATGATTTCTTTGCTCCCTTTGCATCTCAGAAACCAGCCCAAACCACCACAAAAAGGGATGAATAATAAAACTAATTCATATCCACTGAGACATGAAAGTATCAGCAACCCACATACACATTAGAAACCTCATGGTGACTCCATGTGTTACAGAGGGGAGTTGCTCCACAGGGTTTTCTTGGCTATAATTTTCTACGGAGGCAGGTCGGTAGATCTTTTCCCCCCATAAACGTATTAGAAGGTCTGCCAAAACAGAGTCCAAGGTCATATGTTGTTAGGTGCTATTGAGTTGGTTCTGACTTATAGTGACCCTTTGGACAACAGAACAAAGCATTGCCCAGTCCTATGACATATCACTGCTTGAGGCCATTGTTGCAACCACTGTGTCAATCAATTTCCTGGAATCTTCTTCTTTTCCACTGTCCTTCCACTTTACCAAGCATGCTGTCCTTTTCTAGGGACTGGTCTCTCCTGATAACATGTTCAAAGATTGTGAGACGAGGTCTTGCTATCCTTGCTTCTAAAAGACATTCTGGTTATACTTCTTCCAAGACAGTTTTGTTTGTTCTTTTGGCAGCCCATGGTACTTGTAATATTCTTTAACAGTGCTATAATTCAAATACATTGATTCTTCTTCAGTCTTCTTATTCAGTGTCCAATTTTCATATACATATGAGGCAATTGAAAACATCATGGCTTGTGTCACCGCGGTGCATATTAGTCTTCAAAGTAACATCCTTGCTTTTCAACACTTTAAAGAGGTCTTGTGCAGCAGTTTTATTCAATGCAATATACCATCTGATCTTGACTGCTGCTTCCATTAACAATGGTTGAAGATCCAAAGCAAGGTAAAATCTTGGACAACTTCAATCTTTTCTCCGCTTATCATGATGCTACTCACTGGTCCACTTGTGAGGATTTTTGCTTTCTTTACATTAAGTTGTAATCCATTTTGAAGGCTGCAATCTGTAATATTAATCAGCAAGTGCTTCTAGTCCTCACTTTCAGCAAACAAGGTTGCGAATAAGTCTTCCTCTAAACCTGATGCTGAATTCTTCATCTAGTCTTCTCTGAATTTTTGCTGAGCATTAATACTGAATAAGTATGGTGAGAGTATACAACCCTGATGCCTGTCTTTTTCTGTTTGCACAACTGCTTTTTGAACCACGAATAGGTTCCTCACAAGCACAGATAAGTGTTTTGGAATCTCATTCTTCTCAAGGCCATCCATAGTTTGTGATGATCCAGACAGTCAAATGTCTTTGCACAGTCAATAAAACAAAGTACACATCATTCTGGTATTCTCTGCTTTCAGCCAAGACCCATCTGATAGCAGTGGTGAAATCTCTTGTTCTATGTCCTCTCCTGAATTACTCGCAGCTCCATATTAATGTACTACTTGCAACGTTGGTGAAGGATCTCCAGCAAAATTTTACTAGAATGCAACATTAACAGTATTGTTTTTATATTTTTGCATTCTGTTGGGTCAACTTTTTTTTGGAATGGATACAAATGTGGATCACTTATACAGTCAGTTGACTAGGTTTTAGCCTCCTAAATTTCTTGGCATAGACGAGTGAGTGCTTCCAGCATTTCACTAACGTGTTGAAATATTTCCATTGGTCTTCCATCAATGATTGGAGTCTTGCTTAGAGCTAATGCCTTCAGGGAAGTTTGGGCTGTACCATAGCTTGTGGAAATGGATGAATGTCAACTAGTTCTTTTAGATATAGTGTCTTTTTCCATCTTCTTTTGATGATTCCTGCAGTATTCAATATTTTGTCCACAAAATCTTTTAAGATTGCAACTTCAGGCTTGAGTATTTTTCTCATTCCTTCTCTTTAAGATACCCTGAGCCTGTCCTTCTTTTTTGGTTTTCTAACTCTAGGTCTTTGCACATTTCATTATAATACTTTATCTTCTTGAGCTTCCCTTTCAAACTTTCAGTTCAGCTCTCTCACTTCATCATTTCTTACATTTGCCTTAGCGACTGAGCAAATTTGAGTCTCTTCTGACATCCACTTTGACCACCCCCGCCCCCAATGATCTTTTACTTTCTTCACGTCTGATGTTCTTGATGTCATCTCACAACTCATCAGGTCTTCTGTCATTGGTGTTCAGTAAGTCAAATGTATGCCAGAGATGTTCTCAATAGTCAAGTGGGCTATACTCATGGTGGTGTTTTGGTTCTTCTGTCCTTGTTTTAATTTTCTTTAGCTTTAACAGGCTAAAGCCGAATTTACAGTTGATGGTCTATTCAACAGGTGGCACCTAGCTTCGTTTTAGCTGCCGATATGGAGCATCTCCCTTATCTTTTCCCACAGATCATTTTGATGTATTCCACCTGGCGAAGTCCATGTGCATAGTTGCCTTTTGTGTTGTTGAAAAAAGTATTTGCAATGAAGGAGTTGTTGGGTCTTCCAAAATCCTATCATGTTATTTCTAACTTTATTTCTTTCACCAAGGCCATATAATTCAACTCCTGTTCCTTCCTAATTGTCTCCAACCTTTGTATTCTAATTGTCAATAATAATCAAGCTGAGAGAGAAGTGGTAGCCAAGGTCAAACAGGACTACAAAAGATGCTGCTGTTGTAGACCTCAAGCAATTAACTTACCCTGAGAGCAAAACAAATAATGCCTTAATTTGCAAGACATTAACAGGGTCTAATGGCTGATGGAATTAGGTAGGGGCTGGACCCTAATTCTAGGTTCTTCACCATGGAGTGAAGGGGCAGATTAAATCAATACATCTTGGCAATTTGACCATGGGACAGGGCAAAAATGAGAGAAACTCTGAAGTAGTAAGTAAATTTAAATTTAGCTGCCAACCTGCATATGCTGAAGAAAAGGAAAGTGTAAAACAATCGACATGAGTCAGCATATATTCTTGCTTGTCAAAATACTCATGGCTTCGGGACTTTGAATTGGTAAATATTCATGGTGTGTGTGTGTGTGTGGGAAAATGCATGAATCCATACTGTGTGACCTCAACCCCCTAATACGGTATGCTCAGTCATTCATATACGTGCATAGGGTATAGAAAGATGTCAAACTGTATGAAATCATCAAAATGATTCTGGACACCTTTTGTGTTCTTTGCTTTTTGCTCTGTGCTTTTCAAATTTTTTATAATGCACAAAAAGCTTGAAGTTAAAAAAAAACAAAAGTGATTTAAAAAACTTGCATGGAGTCCCCATTGCCTGTGAATAAAGTTAGCTTGCTGACACCTTAAAAAAAACAAACAAACAACAACAAATGATTTACTCATTTAGAGCCAACGCCTGCTAGTCAGGACCACCAAGCTGATTTCTCTCTAGTATGAACCCCCTGCCAATGGCTGGTGTAGGAGAGCTCATCTCATTCAAAAAGGAGGAACAAATATAGGATCTATAATAAGTTACTTCAAAGACAAACAAATACCTAAAGACACAAAGCAGATGCTGCCACAACCCAATAAAAACAGAGGAACCAACCGCTCCAGTCAAGATTTCAGTAACTTATAAAATAAGCTTAGTGCAACAATGCACGAGTTTAGGGAAAATATGGTATGAAAAGTTGATAAAAATTTAAATAGCAAAATTTAGGAAATAAATGGAGGGGAATCAACAACAACACAGAAATGAGGGCCAAATCAGAACCTAAACAAAGAAAAACTTTACGCGTATTTAAGGAATGTGGAAGGAATGACTGACAAAAGCAATTAAACAAATGTGGACAGAGTTTAAAAGAATTAGGAAAAAAAAGTGAATATAGGAGACAAGCAATGGAGATACCAAATCTGCCTAACTTATATTCCTGAGCAACATATAAAACAATGAAATTGAATCAACATTTCTCCAAGGAACATGAGGTTAAGTATAAATCTATTTACAAAATCATAGAACCTTTATTTACAAAAACATCAAAACATTTATTGTTTTGTGACATATAGTGCATCTGGGTTTATACATGTCTGAAAATGGTATTTCCATCCCTCTAAACTTTATCTGAAGAATTCTGCATTTAAGATTTACACCACATCTTAAAATGGCAATTTGAACATCCTTGGAAGGCTCAAATTCTGTTTCTTTTCTATGTTCTTTTGAGTTTGGGGAACAAAAAGCAATCTAAAGGGGTAGGATCCAGGTTGCTGGGTGGATGGGGTAAGTTTTCGATTGTAATTCCAGTAGGACAGGACTTGCTCTCTCCGAAGAATGAACAGGTGCATGTTGTGATGGAAGAGAACTCCCTGATTCAACTTTTTGGCTTTTTTTTTCTCACCAAAGCAATTTTCTATTTTTGTTTGTTTAAGGGGAGTGCGCGAACACAGTCCCCCACTACCACAGATTATGCAGTTGAGTTTCCCGCATTTGGGGAAATCGCAGGCGTCAGCACATCTGGAGTGCAATGGATATCTTCGCCCTGGGAAATCCACCTTCGTGATCATGGTATCTCCCCTGCCAGGTAAGTATGCAATTTTCTATTTTCTTAAAATTTCTTCCTAAGCTCACATGATTGTCCTGTGCCCTTCTAAAAAAATCTATCAAGATTATCCTTAGAGAACCCTGAAAACAGTTGTTTTCTGCGCTAATTTAACTGGCCCAGCGACCTTCCTGGAGGTCACTGCTCTGATTTGGCTTTTTGAGACTCCTAAGGCGACTAGAGAGCCCTGGTGGAGTGGTGTTTACCAGCTGTGATCCAAAAGGCTGGCAGTTCAAAGCCTCCAGAAACTGGGAGAAAGACAGGGCCTTTCTACTCCTGTAAACAGTTACAGTCTTGGAAACTCACAGGGGCAGTTCTACCCTGCCCTATAGGCTCGTTATGAGTCAGTCGTGATTTGATGGCAGTGAGTATGGTTTTTTTTTAAGGAGACTAAGACAAATGTATTAGAGAACTTGTCTGCAGCTATCCACTGATCAGAGGCATGTTTAAGCGTGTACTGTTTGAAGTAAACTTGTGCACTTACGAACTGGAATCTAAATAGCAATGCTTTTTGATTTACCTTCATATATATGGAACTTAGGTATATGATGTTGCTGTTCGTTAGGTACCATCAAGTCAGTTCCGACTATAGCTACCCTGTGCACCAAAGAAGAAATACTACCCAGTCCTGAGCCAACTTCAGAATGACAGCATTGCATATTTCATGAACATGACGGATTAACGGATTGGGATAACTTTAAGTGATGTTTACACAAATTTATAAACGATAAAACTTTAAAATAAATCAAACTATAATAGTACAAAAAGGAAAACATAAAAATTTGGAAAAACCTCAGGATGCTTTGAAAGCTTTCAATATACTAATTCATTGAATCCTCACAACACTCTGGCATAGGCACTATTATGATTACCAATTTTACATCTGACAATGCATTAATATGAGTATATTAAATGAGCTTTCTTCTGGGTATTTAAAAACACATGCCCAATTCAAACACACGCAGCTGTTTGAACCTATTTTGAATAAACTTACCTTATTATTGCAAACATAGAGTTGAAGTTCTTACATTCTCGACAATGAAGTGCTATTTTAATAAAATGTTTAATAATCTTCATTCGTTTGAGTTGATTTGATTCCGTTAAAATTTCTGAGGCAACCCAAAATGTTTCTTGGTTTACAATGTCCTCAAACGCTTTCAAGTGAGTATTTCCTGTTTTGGAATCTAACTTAAAAAGGTCATCAACGTATTCAGTAGGTTCAATATTTCTAAACAAATCGAAGTCTCTCATTGACAGCTGAGTGGCCACCTCAATCGTACTGAGCTGCAGCATGGAGAGCTGGCTTTCCTTAACTAATTCTTGAGCATCTTCATCAGAACATAAGGTTTCTGTTTCCATGTTATTCTTTAAATAATACCTTAAAAAACAAGAATTGTGTTTATAAATATTTTCACATTTGTAAGATTACTTTTCCTATTACTGTTACAAAATATCATTTCAATTTTACTGTTAATAACTAATTGTTCAAAATGTTAGAATATTCACTGATAAATGCAATGGAAAGCTAAGACTTTAAATGAGAAGGGCTTTTCTGCAAGTTGCTGTCAATTATTTTAAAGAGCAAAAATTATGTTGATGATTCTGTGAATTTAATAATTTATGACTCATTCTTGTGAAATAAACGTGTGTTTATATTCTTGAGAATAAAATCTGCTGTCTGAGGAGGGCAAGGCCAGCACCTGACTTAGTTGGTATTAGATAAGTGTCTGTTCTGGGGTGAAATGAAATCTGAGCAGGACAAAATGAATACTCGCACCAGACTGTTAACATCTCTATTAAGAAGCTGTTGCTGTTTATTTTTCTATTTCTAAAGTTCTAAGAGAAGACAAATAAAACCCAAAAGGAAGGGGACATCACTCTAATGGTGTCTCCTTGTTAAACACCAAAGTTCATTCCACCAAATGGTATTGATCAGCAACCCTATAAAGGACCTATAACTCCTCTTTTCTTTTTCAGTTCAATAATTCTGTGGTACCTAAACTCTGAGACTAGTCTAAAAGAATTATAATTGGGAAACATCTTGTACAAGTCTGATGCTTAAAATAAAGCCTTTACTTCATGACAGGCTTTTTTTGTGGTATAACTTCCCTACAATGTATCTAAGTTTGTGTGCATCTATATCTTCAGGAGCCCTGGTGGCTGGGGGGTGGGGTGGGGTGGGTTCTACGCATTTGGCTGCTAACCACCAACAAACTATACCTACACCTCCTTTTCTCCCCTGCCTTTAAGAAGTTCACATGTCTAAGGCATTGCAATAAATAATAGTGTTGAAAATCACTATATTAGAAATAATAAAAATAATTATAGCTAACATTTATAGATGCTTATTTAATCCTAATAAAAATCCCTATTCAATTTGGTCTATAATTACCATTCTCAGCTTATGGATGAGAAAATTCAAATAGAGAGCAGCTAAATACTTTGCTCCAGGTCACAGAGTCAGAACTGGGATTTGAATTTGAGCATGTTAGCTCCAAAGGTCCAGGGCTTACCCAACACATATAACCAGCAAAGCTGAGCAAATCTACTCTTTATAGAGGGACCATGATAGCCTGGCAGTTTAAGGTTCCCAAGCTTCTCTTTCTGTATGTACACTGGACTCTCTATAAAGAGTATTCTCAGAAAAAATTTCCAGAGTAAAGAAAATACTAACAAGTGTACTTATCAAAATAACATCTACATGATCTTCAGAGCCCCCATTTAAATAATTTTCCTGAATTAGGAAATTTCCTATGCAGGAAAAGGAAACCAATTAATTAGAAAAAGAATTTTGAAAATTATAAAGTCCTTTGTCAAGTAAATACTGTACATAGTAAAAATAAATTTATATACATGTATTATTATACTAAACACATACTCAGATACATATATGATTATATGTAACAGTTTTCTCATCTGTAAAAGGAGACTTCTATCAATGGTTTGAAGATTTCGGCTTAGTCAGTATGCTAAAACATTTAAGCAAGCTGCTTGTCCGGCCTGTCCTTCTCCCACTGTGGGAAGTCATTACGAGTGCTGACCCTCTAAGGTTCATTTACGTAATTATGGGACACAAGAAAAGCTGGGAAAATGAAGCAAAACCTCAAACAACTCTAATCTACTTTTACAGAACTCAGTATCTCTTACAACATGATCTTTCTACTTAAAACACCTCTTTTAATGGGGGATCAAAAAAGCACGTGTACAAACAAACACATTTATTATTCAGTATATTCACCTTCCATTAAGCTGGATTCTATCAGCTAACTTGGAGAACTGGTCGGGAAGTCTTCTCTGTTTTATGACACCCTCAGGAGTAACAGAAACTTCACAGAGAGAGTATGTGTCGGATGCACCAGTCAAACCAAATTCATTAACAGCATGACAAACTACTTCTTTAGCTGTAGTGTCTTTACTGATGATGATGTAGCAACTTTGTTGATCTGCTTTGAAAACTCTTATAACTTGATCAGGAATATCTATATATATAAAAAAAGATGTGCCAGGTTATTTAAAAAAACAAAATAGAAAACTTTTAATCCTAAAGCAATTTGGGACACAATCATCCAGTTCAAGTAGAATAGTAATTTCCTGTTTTAAGAAGTTAACAGAAAGCACTACTACATTTATTAATGAAGCTTATTTTTTCTAGATGACAAAATATATCACACACACACACACACACTCACTCACCTGTGACCCATTTATGAAACTGAACATACTCCCTTGCACTGAAGGCTGAAATGTGCTGGTGTGAGAGGAAGCAGACGGCTGCTATCTCAAGGTTATGGAATTAGTGGTCGCTGGACTTTGGTCTGGATCTTTCTTTGACTGTGCTCAATGAACTGGCCCTGGGACTACCATATATTTACTATTTTCATTAACCTCCTTGCTTTATGATATGTACTACTCTGGTAGGCATGGCTCTACCTATGTGATGAGTGTTATAGAAAGTTTTGTCCTATCACCCACTCACAATTTTTGTGTAAACAGTGTCTAGTCTCTTAAGAATTTATAATCTGTACAAGTTAACAATTCATGTATTGCGTCTGAAACTGGCCAATACATGTATTATTTCCTTTTCAGTTTTTAAATTCTATGCCATTAGTTAAATTAATGGCACAATCAATAGAATTACCCTATGCCCCAGGGCATTTATAATGCTATCATAAAATAATGTTTCTAAAGTGAATCAGAAAACTCAAATTCATTGACAGCAAGTCAGTTCTGACTCATAGCAACCTTGTAAGACGGAGTAGAACTGCCCCCTCTTGGCTTTCTGAGACTATAGCTCTTTTTAAAAAAGACATTTATTTAGCATCATAGTTAGACTCTTGCATTTAGCATTCAACAGCATGAGTGCAAATAACAACAACATTAAAACCCTTTGTTGGAATGCTTCATTTTCCACAGAATAAAAACTAGAATGACCTGTTACACAATTTCACAACATCAGTCCTCAAACTCTTTTGCCCATACAATTGAGTACTGTCTAAAACGCGTCTTCTTTGTAGCAGGGAGGCCCTGCCACCAATGTGGTTGGCTGAGTTCACGAATCTGTTGTAACCTGTAGCTCAGTGGTTCTCAACCTGTGGGTCGCGACCCCTTTGGGGGTCGAACGACTCTTTCACAGGGGTTGCCCGATTCTTAACAGTAGCAAAATGACAGTTATGAAGCAGCAACGAAAATAATG